CTTGGGATCCTGGGCACACATGCACATGCGCCTGGCATGAGTTTAAGCCACAAGGACTGGGACTTGAACCATGTTCGACTACATGGGAGTCCAGCGACATAGCCATTACGCTGTCTGCTGGCCCCCAAGTTATGTATTCTAAGATGATAATAATGTTGCCTTTTATTGAGATGCTTTTGCAGATAAAGACCATCAGTGCTTTCGTTCAGGTATTTTGAGTAACTCTGTTTTGTTTGTTTTGTTTTGTTTTTGTCTTCTGTAGCTCAAATTTTGAAGAGCAAAATTGGTTACCCAGAAAACCATAGCTATATCACAGCTATGAGGTACTAATAATTGAAATGAAATTCAGCTCTTATTGTATGAAGTTAACAAGTTATATTATTTTTCCTATGCTGGCTTTTAGCCAACAGAAGCACCCACTGCTGGGTCATATCTCAGAGATGGGAGACATTTCTTAAGTGCCCTCAGCCATTAAGTGGTCTGTCAGATTATTGCAAACCTGGTGGGCTAATAGGAGAATTTCAGGTAGCCAGTAGTTTCTAATTTAGAACAACTCAGTTCTGTCTTTAAGACATGTTAACCGGAAATGCCACATCTCTCCAGACAGGAAAGCACATTGTTTTCAGTTTACCTTTCCTTTAAAGGAAAACTGGAGAAACTTCCTTTAGAAGAAAGCAGAGAATGTGTTAAATCCAGTTTATTGCCTGCCTAATTGTTATTGTCATCCATATTTGCTTTATGTTAGTGCAGTCTTCTGTGTTGTCATTAAATAGTCATTTCCCCGAAGTGAAATACTTACGGCACTCGTCATTTACAGTACCAGGGTACTGGTCTTACACTGCCTTCTGGGAAAGGAAAAAAAGAAGATTTTGTTTTCAGAGCCATTCTTCCTTTGGTGGGGGGATCGCTTGTCACATCAAACTAGGCTTATCCTGGAGAATCGCTGCTGTTTGGGGAATTTCACATCCTGGAAAGAGCTGTTAAGGCTTTCCTGTAGTGAAAAGTTACTGTGGTTACTATACGAGGTACCTTCTTTTTTTTGTGCTTTGGACCAGGCAATGAACTGCCTGAAAATGGTCACTTTCCTGCAGTACTTTTGAGTAGAAATCATTCTCTTGGACTTAGGCCTCAGCAGTTTTGTATGCCTATAGGATATGTGACAAGCCCACAACTGTGTAAAACCAGCTTTTTGACTCAACCTGTGTGGCACAGCAGGAACTCAGCGTCCTGCAAAGCCTGAGACCAGAGGGCTGACTCTGGGTTACCCTGAAAAATGCCTGTGCTTGGGGGATCCTGAAGAGCTGGAAGGTTGGGAGGGAGGGTGCTGTTAAAAGACTATGTGGAGGATGCTTTACTTTCTCTGTCTCTCAGGCATATGCTCTTCTTTCAGCCAAAACTGACAGCAGCAGAAAAAAACAGGTTTTAAAGAGAGCATATAACTTTCCCTTTGAAAACTGTCTTGCTTTAGATTTTTAAAATTTACCTGATCTAAATATTGCTTCTTTGTTGTTTAAAAATACAGTTTTAAGGGCCAGGAGGTGGTGTGGTGGTTGGGGCACTGGACCCCCACATGGCTGAGCACAATTTAAGTCCCAGACCTGAGGGGCTTACTTTCTTACTTTCTCTTTCTCTCTTTCTCTCTTCCTCTCTCTCTCTCCTAGCACATTTAAAAATAGTAATAAATAAAGTAAAATAAATTATTATTTTTACAAAAGCCTGGGACTGGCAGATGGCACAATAGTTACGGCGTTGGACTCTCACATAGTCGACCATAGTTCAAGTTGTGGAGACAGAGGCTAAAATTCACACCAGGTGTGTGTGTGCCTAAAATCCCTAGAGGAGAATAGAGGAGAAAGGATTGTGGCATGGCCATTCCTGTTGAGGGGTGATTTCTCGCTTTCTGTCTCTGTCTCTTTCTCTCCAGTGAGCCCATGTACTCTATAGCAAAAAAATCTCTCAAAAAAAAAGTCTGAAATCATAGTTTTAGGGGTCAGTAGGTGGCATGGTGGTTAATGTGCTGGGCTGTCACTTGACTGACCTCAGTTTGAGTCTTGGACCATGGTGGCTTGCTTTCTCACTTTCTCTCTGTCTGTCTCTGGTGAGCACACGTGCCCTGTAGCAAACTTTAATAATAATAAGTAATAGATCATTTAAAAAGTATAGTTTTAAATGTGAATTAAAATTTGTAACATACATTTGTCAATATTTTAGGAGTTGGCTATGCAGTTGAGCATGTCTACTTTTTTGTTAAATAATAAATGTTTCTTATGGACAATTTTGAAAATAGAGGAAGGTGCAGAGAAGAATAAATAGCTGTTCTCCGACATTAGAACAATGGCAGGCTTGTGATGGGCTCACACGTATTTGTTAATGAATGTAGTGACAGACACCCTATTGACTTTGTGTGTATGTGTATTTATGTAGTTAGGATTTTTTCTCATGTGTATATGTGTATATATTTTTTATTTTTTAAAAGAAAATAGGTATTAGAACATGCAAATACAGTGTTATTAAATTAATTTTTTTACTTTTTTTTAATGATAGCTGGGAAATTTTAATTTGCCTGTGGTCCTTAGCAAGAGGGCACCTTCACTTTTGTCATGTCTGCTTAATGAAGCTATATGATTTCATAGGTAATGACAGCTAGGGATCCTCATTAAATACAAGGGCCCTCAAGAAGGTCATAGAAAGGGCATATTGTGAAAAAAAGCAAGCATTAATTTGGAATATTTTGCACTACAATAAACTTAAACTTTAATCCTGTGTATGTGACTTTAATGCCATACCCTTCTAACCCTGCTTCATAAAAATCTTGGGAGTAGGATTTTCGGTGACTCCTGCCCACACCTCTAGTGTAAGTAAGCCTTCTCACTCATTCCTGTTTGTATTTGTCTCCTTGTTTTAATTTGACTTCTACCAAATGTCCCTGTCTACTCTCCCTATCTTCCATGTAAACCATCTGCTTCAGCCCAATGGTTTTCTCCAAATCTTTCATTTTCTAACCTGGTTATCACTAGGTATGTGATCTTGAGAGTCAGTATTCTAGGGCAGAGAAACTTATTGAAGCTCTAAGTGAACAGTTTTTCTGGTGAAGACCTATGATTGATAAACTTCTACATTTTTAAAATGACTAGTTATTATAAAACTAACTTAACTCCTTTCCTTTGTCTGTCCCACCCCTCCACAAGATAGACAGAGAAGGAAATCAATTGTTGTATGCCTGCCCTATTATATCTGTGGCATTTAAAACTGTTCAGAATTCTTACAGGTTATTTCTCCCTTAAATCTTTGGATAATGTGACTAACTTGGTTTCATCATGTCTGCAAAATTTGACTATATTTCCTCCATCTTTTACCAAATTCCACCTTCAATATTACCTACCGTGTAATTACAATAGGCCTGTGGTTAAGGGTTTCACACTAATTATTTGACATAGTTAACCTGTGCCACTTTGTTCAGTCATAACTCTGACCTTGACTTGACCAAATGAACCTGAGATCTTGCAGTTTTAGGCCTTCTAAGTATTTTTATTTCTATTATTGACAAAACTAGCAGCAGAGCTTTTATTGGCATTTTCACCATTTGCATATGAAAAAAAAACATGTAAACATCTTTTTAAAAGGTGAAACTTCTGTTTCAAGGACTTGTTACCTGCTTAGCTCTTGAATACTAAAAATGTGGAGATATACAGTGAGCGGGCCAAGAACACAAAGGTAGCATGACACAGTGGTTCCTCTCTGGTGCTAGTAATATGAAGAGATCAGAATTTAAATCCTGCTCCCAGAGTTCTTATGGCACTGCATCTTACTGTCCTGGTGACTCGAATTCTCCTGTGTGGTGAGCAGGTGAGGTTATGGAGAGAGGGTCGGTCTGTTGAGTTACCTTTTCACTTCTTTCCTTTAAGGGTTTAGGAAAGGACCCTGAATTCTAGAGAAGCCAGCCCAGGGTTTCCTGAAGGGATGAAGACTTGAGTTAGACCTTGACAGCAGGCTAGGTTGTGGAGAACAAAAGGTGAACTAGTTGAGCAGAGACATGGAAGCAAGTCCATAGGGAGCTTTGAAAGCACATGGAGGCATGAAACTCATCAAAAGCGCTGCATTAAAAGGGAGGGAGTCTGGAATTTTAAAGATGGGGAAGAAGGTTCTTAAAATGTAGGTGTAAAATGAGAGTCTTGAGTGAGGGTAGGTGCTCAGGCATAGGTGGAAAAGGGGCAGATACAGGGAGCATTTCCAAGGAAAAATCTCCAGGATCCAATGAAAGAAATAGCAAAGGCTTCATCTGGGGGCTTACTGAGTCATTCATGTGTTCATTCATTTCTTGAAACACTTAAATACCTGCTTCTGCACGGTCCTGTTTAGGTATTGGGGATAAACCACTGCATAAAACAGAAGTCCCTGTTCCAAAACTTTCTTTCTAGTTAATTATGTTAAAAATCTATAGTGTTTGGGGGATCAGCAGTTAGCGTAATGGCTGTCGCTGGACTCCCACGTAGTCGACCGCGGTTCGCATCCGGACCCGGTGGCTTAAAACTCACGCTGGGCGTGTGTGCGTACGTGCCCAAGATCCTGGGAGGAGAACGGAAGAGAAGGGATTGTGGCGTGACCATCCCCCCTGGGGGGGTGATTTCTCGTTTTCTGTCTCTATGTCTCTCTCTGTCTGTCTGGCGAGCGCACGCGCCCTATAGCAAAAAAAAAAAAAAAAAAAAAAACCCCCAAAAAAAAAAAAAAAAAAAAAAAAACCTCTCAAACAAACAAACAAACAAACAAAAAAAGATTATTCATAGTTCTTAAGGAAAGAAATAAAGGGTTTTTGACCTCAGAAGACTGATGTGTTTTCATTTACTAGTGGAATATTTAAAAAAGAAATTATTAAAACTCTGAGCTGTTTTAAATGAATTACCTCTCCGTATCTGAATTTCTCACTTAAAAAAGTTATACGTTTGTTCTTAAGGATGATTTGATATTTTTATTTATGGATTTATCGTTTCAATTGTCTTCAGGTAAAGCTGCAGTTTTAAAGTGTCTCCTGGATATTCACAAAATTTTTCAGGAAAATGACCCAGCTTACATTCTAAATGATCTCTACATCTCAGACTACTGTGTGTGGATTCAGAAAGCCAAGTAAGTTTTTAATCATTGATGACATTCTTTTTAAAATAATTACTTATTTAATTTTATTTATTATTATTATTTTTTAATTTGACGAGAGAGTGAGTGATCGAGAAGAAAGCCAGCCAGCAGGTCCAGGACTCAAACCACAGTTGGCCATGTGGGAGTCCAGCACCAAAACCACCAGTGACTTTTTAAATGTTCACTTCTCTAAAATACCTGCTTACCCAGGAAGAAGAAAGCGAAATAACCCGGAGAGTAAGTTTTAATGAGAGATAAATGGACATAACTCCCAAATAGTTAAGAGATAAATGGATTAACAGTAAGAGCTTGGTGAATTTGTTCAGAGAGGAAGATACAGATGGTAAAAATTGATAGAGCATGGAGTGGAAAATTGGTATTGAAACAGACAGCTGTGAGTATTCATTGTTTACTATTGACTATATGACCATAGTGAAATCTTAAGACTGGAGAGCTGAACTTGTATTTATAGTTTACTTACAGTGAGGGGTGTGTGTATCGCATGTGCACGCATGCTTGTGTTTTTGTTTGGGTATTACAGGATGCAAACCTAGTCAAATCTAATCCAAATGACAGCTGTGCATTCATTGGGTAACCACTGGCTTACCAAGTCTGTATTTCAAAATACGAGAAATAGAACAGCCCAGTCACCTGATTCTTGATAGCACATGTATTGAAGAATCTGAACATTCATCAGTGGTCTTCAACCCTTGGGATGTAAAATTTTCTAAAGGTGTTTATCATTGTCTCAGTCAAGGGCACATAAGTAAGTTAACTATTTAAAAATTGTTTATGATTTTTATCAGACATGGCAAAATTACCCGTTTTAGTAGAAGAGGTTATTAATTGAGAACATATAAAGCACTATTGATTGGAATGGTTCCTAGATGCCATAGAAAGTGATGGTACAGTGTCTTTTGTGACTTAGAAGAAAAATAATCATGACATTTTTACTACTACCGTGATTGGTAGGTGAATGCATTAGTATAGAATTTTAATGGCTGGTTGGAATGAGCCATTATACAGAATTTACTTTTGATTTCTGTTCCTGTGGAAGCAATTTTATTGCAGAGTGAAATATGAAAAAAAAATTGAGGCTGTACCTGTTCTATAGAAAATGCTTAGGGATTGCTCAAGATAATGCCTAATAACATACAGCAGGTGGTGTCAGCATTTGGGTTGGAAATCTAGATTTCACCAAATGGAAAATTGAATCTTTAACCCCTGAGGTCATAATGGCATATCATCACTTCATTTAATCCTTCTACTAATTGAGCTTATCAGATACCCTGCTGCCATTTCCTGTTGTTACTTTCATTTTTATAATAAAATTAAATTGAAATAGTCTATCTATGTGAGTTTTTCTTTTCTTTTTTTTTTTTTTTTCCTTAAAGAGTAAGGATTTTGTAAACACATAATGAGCATTGATGTTTGTACCAGGATCCTTTTTCCATGAGTGCTTGTTTTTCTATTTGTGACATTCCTTATTAACTATAGAGAAGATTGGATTTCATTAAAGTACAAGGACGCAGGCCCTAAAGTTGATTTAGGGATTAACAGAATTTTTTCCTCTTTAAAATTTTTTTCCTCTTGGTTTTAAGTTGTGGGAAATGAAGCAAAATGCTTAGGCTCTTAGAAATTATTGTGATAATAATAATTTGTTTGAAAGGGAAAATACATTGGGAGAGTAAGATAGGAGAGAAAAAGAGCAAAAACTCTTCAAATTACTTTCTACAAGCTTCCCCCCCAACTTTACCAGTTTGACCATAACTTTACTTTTTGTAAACAGTCTGTTTCCCTTTTGCGTGTGAGTTTTAACTTTAGCCCAGCTATTTTTTTTTTGCCCTTTATTTAACTTTTATTAAAATTTCTAATTTCATCCCTCAGTTTACAATGATTGAACTTTCTAGTATCATCCTTTTTTTTTTTTTTAAAGAGGTTTTTGCCTTAGGGCTCGTGCGCTTGCAGGCAAGAGAGAGACAGTGAGAGGGAGAGTGAACAATCACTGCCCAGGGAAGATGGCCACACCACAATCCCTTCTTATCCATTCTCCTCCTGGGATCTTGGGCGTGCATGCACACACATGTCCTGCATGATTTTTAAGCCACTTGGTCCGGCACTCAAACCCTTCAGCCGTGTGAAAGCTCAGCAACGTAACTGCTACGTTATCTGCTGGCCCTCTAGTATCATCTTTACTGCGAACTTTCTTGGCTCTAATTATATTGCAGTGTGTGTCTGTGATTTGTATAACTAATTTTTTTTTCTCACCTTTTACTTTCTGGTTTATTTCTTTTCCATATAGTTTTATCTGTGAAATCTAGCACCTTATTTTTATTTTAAAAATAGTTATGTGTTTTCCTTAGTCTGTTGATGTTTTTATTATAATAATAAAAACTGTAAACTTTTATTCGAAATACCAGAAGAGTACTAAATTCTGACTAGCACAAAGACCAGCATTCCATTTTTACAGCCAGACATTTACTTTGGCAAAAACTTACTGGAACAGAGGTAGTAAAGTCATTCTTACGTTGACTTAATGAAGTTAGAGCAACAGTTATCATAAGTTTTGCCTTCCTACTAGGTAGTTATTTTTCCTTATGCTATCTGTGTGGCAGAGGGCATATTTGCAAATCTTCAAAAACCAAAGCTCCTAGATTCTTTTTCCAAGTTAGACTCTGCAGATTTTTTTCTGAAGAATAACGCTCCTTGCTAGACTCCTTGTCATCTTTCCCTTTGAGCCTCAGTGGGCGTTTTGATGGTGCTGCCCACTACAGCAGATGTTCCTGGGTGGCAGCATGAGGACGGGATTTGCTTGAGATCATGTCTTATAAAAGATAGGTTTGAGTAAGTGCTAGGATTTTACGTTTTTCCAGATGTACTACCTACATAACCAGTTGTCTTCACTAACGGGATGTGGAAGAAAAAAAAAGAAAAAGAAAAAAGCCTTCCTTTCGGAGAGCTTTTCCTAGAGGAAAAGGAAGTCACGATCCTTTGTCTTCCTCATTTCCCACAGCTCTTGATTGAGAGCTCAGTGTGCGCATCTCATGTCTGCCTCCTATTGTGAGAATCTAGGTACAAATCTCTCCTACTCTAAAGCTTATTTTGTTTTAATTGTGTGCCTTTACTATTGAGTAAGAGTCTCCTGTTAGTCTGGAGTCACAATGTTTTACTAGTAGGGCCAGATAAAAAGTCCTCATTTCTCCGGCCTGTATGCTAGAAACTGTCAGTATTCTGGACACAGAATCAGTTGGTTATATAAGAAAAACCCTCTCAGACTTTATTAGGAGACTATGTTGTCTTCGGGGACCCTGGTGCTAGGAGTGCAGCTGGGCCCCAGGATCTCAGTTTATGAGGAGATGAGGCAGTCAGCCTGTCCTCTGGCACATGGTCTATTACGTTGCTTCCTTCTGTTAATCACCACACTCTTCCCTCTGGATGAACCTGAAGGAGGAGGTCTACTCCAAATCTGAATTTATGTGTCCTTACTCTCAGCAGGA